TGGAGGTTGCATGTTCTCCCCGGGCCTGTGTGGGTTTTCTCCGGGTACTCCGGTTTCCTCCCACATTCCGAAAACATGCATGGCAGGCTGATTGGACACTCAAAATTGTCCCTAGGTGTGAGCGTGAGCACGGATGGTTGTTCGTCTCTGTGTGCCCCGCCTACTGCCCGAAGACAGTTGAGATAGGCTCCAGCACCCTCCGCGACCCTTGTGAGGATGAAGCGGATTGGAAAATGGATGGAGGGATGGATGATTTTGCCCCAAAAATGCTATTTTTTGACATAATTACAACATGATTACCAGACTACTTGATTATGTTCCTGTTCAAAGTATTAACATGATACCAAAACTCCTGAGTGGCTAAATGGCTGATTAAAAGTGGCTGCAGTCAGTCATTCACCAGACGTCAAGTCTCAATGGTCACAGGACAGCGGGAAATGCAACATGGTGTTATTATGATGATTATTGTTATTGTGTAATCACCCAGGGGGTCCTTCTGAGCCAGTTGATTCAAATCAGTCAACTGAAGGACAGATTGCTTCAGTTAATTTCCATACAGTTCCACGAAAAGCTCTCAAAAACTCCCGCCATCAACATTTGCATGCCTTTTATATCCAAAAACATCACTTTTTAATTAAAGACTTGAGTTTGAATGTCGGGCATCTGTTATTCGCTTTTGCTCGTGGTGCCGTGTGAAGTTGAAATATTTGCCAAGGGATGAACTCTAGGCAAGTGTGAAATCTATTTTTAAAAAGCAAAAAAAAAAAAAAAAATCCAAAAAGGTTTTCTGGAGTGCGCCAACATCCCAGCAGCCCAGAGGAGCCACTGCAAGAATTAGCCAGGTTATTTTTGTTTGTTTGTTTGTTTGTTTGTTTGTTTGTTTGTTTGTTTGTTTGTTTCGATGATCATATGTTTCATGTTGTCTAAAGTTCGGGGGGCCTTTTGTCTGAACAATACATGGCAATCTGGATTCTATCTTTGACGAGGACATTTTGCCAGAGTGCACTGCTGGCTGCATGCTGAGCAGCCCGAGCGGCCATCTGGCAGGTGAGCCGCACTTTTCTCCACACGTTGACTGCCTCGCCTTCCTCTCATTCCCTCCTTCTCTTTGGTTTTTCTCCACCTCCCAACCTGGCTCCTCTGCTCACATTTATTGTCAACATCTTTTTTCCCCTCCCTTCTACACTTGTGTCTGCCTGCTAGTGTGACCTCCCTTCAGGTTGTAAATCAACATCCACTGGTTACGTATAATACAAAATGTTTGCCTTTGTCAAGATAATAATGTGTTTTATTAACACGGTTTGTGATGTATTCATTTTATGGCTACAGCCATTGAGTATTTGTACAATCTAATTTTCTACCGATTACCCCATCCATTACTCAAGCAATTGGATAAAAATTGGACTTCACATTACTCACAAAATGTACCTGTGATGTACATTCCAATAATTGGGGAAAATTTGCCCATCCTATCTTCCAGTTTAAGTTATCTCAGGCTTAATTAACAAATGTCAAGATTATCATAAGTGATTATTTTATGGAGTAGGGCAGGGGTGCCCAAACTTTTTGGGCCGAAGATCGACTTTTCGATCAACCAACCTCCCACGATCGACCGTTACCGCGCACGCGCACGCACACGCATATACACACACACGCCATGATGAGCAACAGCCTGACGTGGAGGCATGCGAGGCACTTTGGCAGCCTGTAAACTATCGTAACTCACACGTACTGTTTTAAAATGCTTCCCTCGACCCTCGGGATTCCTATTTTTTGCCCGTGCACTCGGTGAATTGTACACGAAACAAACGGAATGAAAATAATGATCATGATAACGATAAAAAGATATAGTGTAACAGCTCTGGTCACAAGCTGCAATGGCAGACTGCTGAGCGCTAACAACTTCCGGTGACGCAGGTCACGCGCCACCATAGGTTAAAGATTTACCTGCTTTATTTTATTTCATTTTTTTTAAATACTTTTTTGTGAAAACGAGACTGATAAGATGATTAGGGTGCGATGTACACTAACACGAAAAAAATATATTACTGTACTAACATGCACAAAGACACACAAATGTTTTTTTTTTGTTTGTTTTTTGTTTCCTCTACACCCCTTGTGATCGACTTGAGACCAGTCCGCAATCTACCGGTCGATCGCGATCAACGTAATGGGCACCCCTGGTGTAGCGTGTGTTCAGACTGTTTTTTTTCCTTCTTCCCTCTTACGCTTGGAATACAGTCATGGGCTATCAATCATAAATGTTAAACTTGTTCAATATTGATAATAGATTCACAAATCTGGGACTTGTTACTCCTCCTTCTTTTTATTTTCCTGCAGTTTGGATGGGTTGTAGTTCCCAGCTTCCTCCAACAGGTCTGTCTTGGTACTATGACAGGTATCATTTGTAGGTGGTGTGCTGTGTTGGTCCATCCATTCATTATCTGAGCCGCTAATACTCACGCACGCCGCGGGCATGCTAGACCCTATGCCAGCTATTTTAGGACACAAGGCGGGGGACACCCTGAACTGGTTGACAGCCAATCACAGGGCACACATAGACAAGCAACCATTCACACTCATAATTTCACCAAGGGATAATTTAAAGTGTTCATATAACCTACTACCATGCATATTTTTAGAATAAGGGAGGAAACCAGACGACCCACGCAGGCAAACTACAGACAGGAAGGCCGGAGCCTGGAATCGAATCCCAGACCTCTGTACTGTGATCAGGAAATAATTCAATATTTTTTCCTCATTGTGTTTGGGATGTTTTACATTTTAAAACTCGATTGAGAAAATCGGTTTAATTTATCACATAAGGCTTTCCTCCCTAGCCTGGAAATACAAATGGTCGAGTCCGGACTGGCCTCTTCCCAACATATTTTCCATGTGATAGCCGCTCCAAAATGTTACAAGCTGAAGTGTCACTTTTGAGGTCTTTTACTTCCTTTTTGCTGTCACAATGGAACTGTATCCCCCTGCCCCAGAATGAAAAATGGTGCAGTCCTGTCTTTTAAAAAATGTCATCCTGCTAACACACACGCACACACACATACACACACACACTCACACACACACTTTTGTTCACAGGTCAATCTCCTGAATTGTGCGTTAGGAAATTAGGCAGGCGTACCTAATGTTACGCTAATACGCCAACACTCTTTCTCGCTGGGCTGCAGCCTCCTAACGGTCGTGTTTAATCAACCTCTCGGTGGGCAACGGGCTCACAGTTTGGGGGAGGTGTGGATGCTCTGGAGGCACAGAGGGTGGGGGGTAGCAGGCGGGGATCTCTGGGTATGAGTATAGTAGTAGTAGTAGCCGCCACTGTGCACTCACAGACCATGTAATTGTGTTACATACACTAATTCGCCTGATGCACTAATGCACTCGCCTGTGCTGCTGACCCACATTGCCCCCCCCACACACACACACACACACACAAGGCACCCCACCCCACCCAGTTGCATTTGAATGGCTCCTACCTCATTGCCCCTGATTGAACCAGAGTGTAATCTACTGTTTCAAATATTGGTTTTGTTTCTCGGCCTTCCTAACGGGCAGCAGCGAGAAAGCTTTCACCGGGGATGACACAGACAGATGTTCTCAATGACTTCACCGCCACGCAAGTCTTCTGGTATCACCTCCAGGGTCAGGAAGACAAAGTAATGCACTCTCACCAGGATGCAGTGCACTCAGAATAGCTAAAAAAAATACAGAGATGAAATGACCAGAAAATAAAATGCTCAGTGAGGAGAGATCAATAAATAATCCGACAGTATTCCAACAGTATTCCTGGCTAGTGAGTTAGCTGTACTAGGGGTGGATTTATTCCTCTGCATGCTTCAAGTGATGCAATTACAATGTTTCGCTCACAAGGGGTGGCGGACAGAGGAAAAAAACCCTGCATGAAATCGGCTATCTTGAATGAGGCCTTTTCCAAATGGGGAAAGAAATTATAAAAGTTATTACTTTTGCCCTTAAAAACATAAATACATAGAAAACATTCTTGTGAATTGACGTTTGAAGTTTTATACAGGTATTCCGATTTTTTTCCTTTTATAAATTACTTCTTGTAAAATTACAGCTTCATTCTTTTTATATTGATATTTTTTTTCTTGTGAAAAACGAATATAATTGCCTAATTCTTTTCAAATGAGGATTTATATCCAGTATTCGTAAATATTACGAGTCAAAATTACCGGTATCTTTCTCCAAATATCAAAATCATATCGCCTATGATGTCAGATATCCCTCATTGTGCAAGCACAGTCATAATGAATAGGTGCCACTTGAAATGTACATGGAAACAGCCTCTTGAAAAAAAAATCTGCTTCAGGCACTTCATATGGGCACTTCATGGAACCTGCAGCGTAAATTTAGCCTTATGCCCCTCAGATGAGCAGCGCTCATATCCCAAAGCCCATTCACACTTCCACCCATTTGAATTCTAAATATAGCAGGCGACTGATAAAAGTGCAGGCTGCTGCCTTTACGGCTGAGGCTGACGACTTAGCTCCAACGCTAGCCTCGCCTCCTCTCCAGCAGAGGCTTCGAGCCCCTCTGGAGAGGTCCGGGGGAAAAGAAGGAGAAGAGCAAGAAGAATAGAAGCGGCTCCAACTGGCCCTCCAGATAAGGACAACCCAGGAGAGAGGCAACTCGCATGCAGGAAGAGAGCGGAGTTTCATTGGGTGCAAATCCCTTCTAAATGATACAATGTAAAGCTTGGCACTGTACTACACTGTTACTGTCCTATGTGTGTGCATGCATGTGCAGCGTTTATCTCCATCCCAGTGCTCCCAGACTGGTGTGTGTGTCTGTCCCACGTGCACAGTGGTGATTAATCAATGCACATTTAGGGGAAGGGTTCAAAATTCGTCCCCCCTACAGCAGTCAGCAAACGCACCAAACCAATCTGGTGAACATCAGCCCACTACTACTCGTATCCTCCACAAACATACCTTTTTTTTTAAACTTAGTTACAAGAAGGAACTCACCTATAAAGATGACGAGACTCACACTTGAAGACGTCCGGTCAGGTCAGCGTGCGTGCGTGCGTGCGCTCGCCTGGAGACGCTTCGTGGCTTTTACGCGTGGTAGCCCGGCAAAGTAGCTTGTGCAGCGGCGTGCATCCTCTCTTCCATCAAGTGACCCTCCCGCCCAACTGTGGCATTGATCATGTTCCCCCGTAGCCAACATTTAATCTCTCTCTCTCTCTCTCTCTCTCTCTCTCTCTCTCCCCCCCTCCCCTCCTCTCTCT